TAAATTTGTTAAAAAATTATTTTAAAATAGAGAGTAGTTAATAATTGATAAAACAATTGATATTTATTAAGTAGTTATGAGTAATAAATTAAAATTAATTTACAACTTATTATTTTTAAACAAAATAACTATTAAGAAACAAAAAAAAGAAACCTAAATTTCTTGTGGTGTGGCCTTGTGCGTGAATAACCACATTCTGGTCACATGGACGTGCCCTGTCATTTTCCGCATCACCTTTCCTTGTTGACCCAAAAAACTAAAGAAAAAAAAAGAAAGGGGGGAACCGCACTTGTTTTGACCAAAGAGATTGAAGTAAAGAAGCCGTGCTGGGTCCACTGCTGCTGTGCTGGCCTTAAATTATAAAAAAAAAAAATTGAAGAAGCCGAGATGAGCTCGGATCGGATCATATCAGATATTGAGTTTTTTGAATTGAGTCATATTGAGTATCGGATTATAGAAATAGGCTTGTGACCTACTAACACGGTTCTCGGATTAGATTAGGTGGATTCAATTTTTAAAAAATTAAAATTAAAATTAAAATTTTTTATATTTTTCTCTATTTTGTTAAACAAAATCTAATACTAATTAACTATTTAATTAAAAACTTTATTAAACACTTATTTTTATTTCATGATTCAATTTTTATTCTAATCTCAAGAAAAGAAAAGAGAAAAATTACAGAGAAAAACTATTGATTATATAGATGAAACTAAAATATATGTCAAATATATAATGCCTATACAATATTTAGAATTCATAATTTCATAAAGAAATTAATTTTTACTAAAAGAAGAGACATGAAGGATTAGAGTTCAGAAGACAAATCCAATATATATTAATATCTAGTACCTATTCAATATTTATAAGGGTATTATACAAAAAATACAATTCTATTCAATATTTAGAGGGGCATTATACAAAAAATATAATTCTATTCAATATTAAAACTCAAAAGGCAAATTTAAAATATATCTAAACAAATACAAAAAGAAATTGGATCAAGATTGATTTTTATTAACTAGGAATAAATTATTAATTAAGAATAAATTAGCAACTAAAAACAAATCTTAATGTTCTTGTCTTTGTGCTTCTTATGATGATGAGGGTACCTCAACTACTTGGTTTTGATTTTCAGTAGGCATTCTTACTTGCTATTTAAAAAAAAAATTATCTTTTTGACGATACAATATGGCATAATTCATTATGTGGCACATAATTTGATTTTTTATGCGAGTGCCACCAAAGAAAAGGATTAAAGAACTTGAGATGAAGAAGGGGAGAGCGAGAGCAGAGAAAATAAGGAAAAGTTGAGAGAAAGTAAAATTGATGGGAGGTTAGGATTTGAAATTTTTATTTATTTTTACTTTTAGGATTAAAAAATTAAAAATTAAAATTAATTTTTAAGTAATTTAATAAAAAATAAATAAATAAATTCGGATCATTTCAGGTGATCTAATCCACCGATGACCCAACCCATTTAAATTCAGATAATTTTAATTCGCGTTATTTCAGATTTCAGATTAATACATGTAACCCATTACCTGACCCATAACAAATAAGTTGGGTAAAATTTTCAAATTGAATCCAATTTTGCCATATCAAAGCCGGTCGAAACCATTGCCACATAAATAAATGTTAAACGGCGTACAAGTCTGATTTGTCAAATTTTAGTTTTTTCATATCCAACCCAGGTGTTTTTCATCCCATGCCAATTGTAAAACTACAACTTTTGAAGTTTTACTCTATTTCTTTTCTCATTTGTATGAAAAA